TGTATTATCCAGCTTTGTCAAGGTTCAGGCCACAAAGAATGTGTCAAGCTGGGATTGAGGAAAGACCGTACCAAATCCCTTAAGATCCTGACCCTCGGCTGGGCACGGTGGCTCACGCCTGTAATCCCAGCACTTTGAGAGGCTGAGGCAGGAAGATCACTTGAGCCCAGGAGTCCAAGACCAGCCTGGAAAACATAGACCCTGTCTCTGCAGAAACTAAAAAAAAAATTAGTTGGCCAGGCGCAGTGGTTCACACCTGTAATCCCAGCACTTTGGGATGCCGAGGTGGGCGAATCATGAGGTCAGGAGTTCAAGACCAGCCTGGCCAACGTGGTGAAACCCCGTCTCTACTAAAAATACGAAAGTTAGCCGGGAGTGGTGGCGGGCACCTGTAATCCCAGCTACTAGGAGAATCACTTGAACCAGGGAGGTGGAGGTTGTGGTGAGCCGAGATCGTACCACTGCACTATAGCCTAGGCAACAGGGCAAGATTCCGTCTCAAAAAAAAAAAAAGGGGGGGGCATGATGGCGCACACTTGTAGTCCAGCTACTCGGAAGGCTGAGGTGGGAGGCTGCAGTGAGTGATGATCACGCCACTGCACTCCAGCCTGGGCAACAGAGTGAGACCCTATCTCTAAGAGAAAACAGCAAAACAAAATTTAACCCAAATGTGACAGAGTTAGCTAGCTCTCCTTGAGGCCATCCTCAAGAATGTCATTCAATTCCCAGACATAAAGCTGATCCTGACAGCCTTGAAGTCACATAAGGAGTAGGGAGGTTTTTCTGGGATGACAGAGGAGACACACATGTCATCCCACAGAACCAAACACCCCCACATTCCATCAGACCTCTCTGTTCTTCCCCATTGTTCTCTTCCAGAAGCGAGACCCTGTCTCTACAAAAAATAAAAACTTAGGTGTGGTGGCATGCACCTGTAGCCTCAGCTACTCAGGAGGCTGAGGTGGGAGGATTGCTTGAGCCCAGGAGCTTGAGGCTGCGGTGAGCCATGATTGTGCCACTGCACGCCAGCCTGGGCAACAGAGTGAGCCCCTGTTTCAGGGAAAGAAACTTGAGAGGTAGGAGTAAAGGAATTTTATTTCCTAAGCTCCCGCCATGTGTCAGGCCCACTGCTAGGCAATTTATATCATTTAGCTCTTGAATGATCCTCCAGCTTTCCCAGTGTGTGTTATTCTCTCAGCTGACAGGTGAGGGCATTGATGCCTGTCGCTGTGTTTGGGCCCTGGTCATCCTGGCACAGCCTGAGCTTCCCACCAAGAACCAGAACAGCGGTGGGGATTGGCTGTGGACCCTGACCTTTACCTGTGCTGGTCAGCCTGAGCCAGGATCCCAAAGTGAAGCTCATGGTCTGGCTTCTCAAGGATCATCAACTGTTGTCTCTTCTCCACCAGAAGCAAATGCCCATCAATTGTGTCTACCTGGACGGTCTGGGGGGTTGGGGTGGCTTGGCAGCTGAGCACTGGGTCAAGCCCACGGTGTCCTGGAACTCCTACGAGAAGCCTGTGGTCAGGCCCAGCCTCTGAAACCTCCACTGTTTGTCAGGATGGAAGTCCCCTGGGTGTTGGGTAGACACAGGGAGGCAGGGACATGAGCTGGAGCTGGCTGGGTCCCCGCTTAGTCACAGGCTCTGGCAACCTGTAATGAAACATCCCTTCCCGGTTGGCTGTTTTCCCCAAATATAGACACGTGCTGTTGCTAGAGGGGAGCTTGCCAGCCCAGCTGCTTCTGGACCATGCTGGGCTGACTCAGGGAGAGAGCCACACACGAACCCCTGGTTTGAAGGCCAGACTAGGTCATATGGAAGGTGACAGACCTTCCCCCTGGTGGGTGTACTGTGTGCAGGGACAAGGCCTGTGCTAGCACCCTGCTTTCTTGAGAATAAGTGTCTTTGGGCTGGGCATGGTGGCTCACGCCTGTAATCCCAGCACTTTGGGAGGCCGAGGCGGACAGATCACCTGAGATTGGGAGTTCCTTTTGCTTTGGACACCCAAAATGCAGGGATTACTGGTGTGAGCTAGTACACCCCACCAAGGGTCTCTTGAGAAGAGCTGTCCTGTGTTGAAAGAGTCCTGTATGAAGGAGAATGTTCTAAACTTGCCATTTTGACTCTACTGTTTTGAACAGGTCACCAGGAAAATGAGACTTGGTATAAGTAAGTAATACAGGCCGGGCGAGGTGGCTCAAAAAAACAACAAAAAAATTCACATGGAAAAGACTTGATCTTGGGAGAAATAAATTTAATCAAAATTGAGAGTAAAAAAAATTGAAACTGGCTAATTGTGACATACAGAAAATCAATTAAGGAATTAAGTGGCTTAATGGATTCACAAAGGAAAATACTTTTGGCGAAAACTCATCTATATTACTTTAATAGTTTTGTGTAAATGCATGATACATCAGACTATCCTTGAGGGCTCAAATGGTGTGGAGCTAAGGACATCTAAACTCTTCAGGGGCCAGGTGTGGTAGTTCACGTCTGTAATCCCAGCACTTTGGGAGGCTGAGGCAGGCGGATCACTTGAGGTCAGGAGTTTGAGGCCAGCCTGGCAAACATGGTGAAACCCTGTCACTACTAAAAATACAAAAATTAGCTGGGCGTGGTGGCAGGCACCTGTAATCCCAGCTACTTGGGAGGCTGAGGTGAGAGAATCACTTGAACCCAGGAGGTGGAGGTTACAGTGAGCCAAGATCGTCCCACTGCACTCTATCCTGGGGGCAGAACAAGACTCTGTCTCAAAAAAATAAGTAAATAAATAAACTCTGCAGGCTTCAGAGTAGCACCAAATGGGATGGTTACCCGTGCTCAGTCCTCAACTTACCCAAGGTTAGAGGTGCCCTAATTTCAGTTCACAGGGATGCATCTTCTCTTGGAATCATACTGTTAGGTTCAGGGACTACTCTCATCCTTCCAGTACTTTACCAGTGGGTGAGGGGCTGTTCCTGCTTGACCAGGTGGAGTCCTTTGAGAAGGAGAAGGATCTGCAGAAGGAGATCCTTGGGGCTGGGTTTTTTTTTTTTTTTTTGAGACAGTCTTGCTCAGCTCACTGCAAGCTCCGCCTCCTGGGTTCATGCCATTCTCCTGCCTCAGCCTCCCGAGTAACTGGGACTACAGGCGCCCGCCACCTCACCTGGCCAGTTTTTTTTTTTTTTTTTTTGTAGTTTTTAGTAGAGACGGGGTTTCACTGTGTTAGCCAGGGTGGTCTCGATCTCCTGACCTCGTGATCCACCCGTCTCGGCCTCCCAAAGTGCCGGGATTACAGGCTTGAGCCACCGCGCCCAGCCGGGGCTGGGTTTTTATCTATAGGACCAGAGATGATTCTTTGGCTAGTGAGTAAGGAGATGGAGTTAGCAATGGGAGAAAGTAGGTAGGAGCTGAGGATGGGCTATGAGCCATAGACCAGATGGGTTAGGAACCAGCTTTTCATTTTGCTTAATGAGGTTTTAGGACTAGACACAAAGCCCACCTCTCTCCTCTGTACTCACGACTACCAAAAGGGCCTGGCTTTCAGAGACAGAGGATGTGGAACCTGACTTGGGGGTGGGAGTGAGGAGGTCTATAAGAGGAATCCACATGTGGAAAAAGTATGACGGCAGGTCAAGATGGTGGCGTTGGGACAGGGCATAATGGTAACTGACAATCATGTATTCTTTCCACATGTGTTCATTGACTATTACTTTGCAGCACGTAAATCTGGGGTACTGGGTGAGGACCTCGCAGTGGACAAGACAGGCAAGGCCCTTCCTGAGAAACCAGGAGACAATAAATAAGCAAATGAGCAGGATAACTTCAGGTGATAGCGAGGTAAAGACAATGACCCTACTCAGATTTTAAAGATTGCGCAGACTACTGTGTGACGATGAAACTGGAGGGAGAAAGGAGGAAGCTGGAAATCCAGCTGGGCAGTACTGCCTCATCAGGAGAGAGATAATAGTGTCTTGGACCAAGATGGTACCCCTGGAGATGGAGAGAAGTGGATGGACTTGGAATACATGAAGGAGGCAGAGCTCAGAGACTGGATGTGAGGGAAAGAGGAATGAGGTCATTGGGCCCAAGCAACTGGGTGGATCATGGTGCTGTTGATTGAGACTGAGAAGGCTAAATGACGAGCAGGTACTGGAGGTGTGGGCATGAGTGCACTGAAGTTGTATTTCGGTCATGCTGTATTTGTAATGTCCACCAGGCATCCTGGTAGAGTCTGGAGCTCAGTAGACAGGTCGAGGTGGGATAAAATTTGGGAATCATTGGTGCATATGTGGTATTCAGGGAACTGGATGAATCACTGTGACTCTAGGTCTCAGAGTGTTGATCCTCAGCCAGGGGTGATCTTGCCCGCTTTTTCCAGGGGGCCCTTGGCGATGTCTGGAGATATTTTCTGTTACTGGTGATGGGAAGAGGTACAGTTTGCTTCTGGCATCCACCAGGTAGAGACCAGGGATGCCACTCAACATCCTGCAGTGCCCAGGCCAGCTCCCCGCACATAGAGTTATCTGGCCCTGATGTCAGTGGTGTCAAGGTTGAGAAACCCTGCCCTAGAGCGAGTATGTAGATAAAGCAGAAAAAAGGAAAGTAAGCCCGGGGGCATTCTTCCATGCAAAGTTGGAGAGGAACAGTCTGCGAGGAAGAAGGGAAGCTTGGAGAGTACAGTTTCCTGGGAGAGGAGAGTGTCTGGGGAACTCTCAACTGTGTTACCTGCTCCTAAGAGGGGCATTCGAGCACAGAGAGAAGTGACCAATGGCTTAGGCAAGATGGACATTGTTGATGACTTTGATACAGAGCAGTCTTTGTGGTTTGGTAGGGTAGGAAGCTCCAGGGGAACCAGCCTGGGCAACATAGTGAGACCCCATCTCTTAAAAAAAAGTAGCCGGCCATGGTGGCACGTGCCTGTAGTTCCAGTTACTCAGGAGTCGGAGGTAGGAGGATCGCTTGAGCCCAGGAGGTTGAGGCTGCAGCAAGCTATGATAGTGCCACTGCACTCCAACATGGGCAACAGAGCAAGACCTTGTCTCAAAAAAAGGCAGCAGCTCCAAAGAGTAGGTTACGCCAATGGCCAATACTCTGTAATTTCCTCCCTGCTTTAGAATGCCTGACAAATGTGACTTCATGAATACACACACACCAGGCAGGTACTGTCACCCTCATTATATAGAAGTGGCAATGTTATTCTCACCCCCGTTTTACAGAGGTGGGGACTGAGGCGCAGAGAGGCTAACCACTCCCTAGTGCCAGGCAGCTGATAGTAAATGGCAGAACCAGGATTCAGACCTAAAAGAGTTTGACTTCAGGGTCAGTGTAATTGGAGGAGAGGAAGTGGAGGCGGTAAATGAAACACCGTGCTTTTGAGAGGTGGTGTTTCTCTTTGCACACTTCTGCTGGAAAGAAGAACAGAGATAGGTACAAGACGATGGGTGCATGTCGACAGGAGGGACCCATGTGGAGGCTGAAACTGTTGATGCTGTGGAGGGGTGCTGAGAACTGAAGCCTTTGAGGAGGTGAGAAGGATCTGAGGTTTAAGTTGAGGTGCTGGCATTTCCCAGGAGCATTGTCTGGTAACCCTGAAGTGGAGCCTAACCATTTAGAGCAAGATTACCCCTGTACTCAACTTCTCCCCTTCGCCACCCCCCACTGGCCTACAGAGGCTCCGCTCTGCTCTCCTTCTAGCCCTCTTGCTAAAAGATAGCTGGCCAGGTGCAGTGGCTCACACCTGTAATGCCAGCACTTTGGGAGGCCGAGGCGGGAAGATCACTTGTAGACAAGAGTTTGAGACCGGACTGGGCATAGTGTTGCCCATCTCCACAAAATTCAAAAGGCATGATGGCATACCCTTGTAGTCTCAGCTGCTAGGGAGGCTGAGGCCGGAGGATTGCTTGAGCCCTGGAGTTTGAGGCTGCAGTTAGCCATAAACACACCACTGTACTCCGGCCTGGATGACAGCACAAGACCCTGTCTCAAAAATAAATAAAAGCTTTCCTGCAGGAAGCTGCTGCACAGGCCTGACCCTTCCAGAAACAACTGGGCCCAGGAGCCAGTGTCCCAAGAGAGGACAATGGGAGCCCGAACCTAGCTCTGTACACATCAGCGATTCTCCACCCAACCATGACTGTCGGGATCCTTAACACAGAGGCCACCTGTGTTGGCCTCTGCAGTGTCTTATCAAGCTTTTAGCGGAGCCATACCAGGCTCCTTTGAACTGTCTTAGGTACTGCACTTGCCCCTCCTCCCGGCAGAATGTTCTTATCCTCTGTTTCACCCTCTCTCACTCCTCCTCTTGCCCAGCCTCCTGTCTCAGTTTAGCAGTCACATCCTCAGACAACACTTGTCCTATTCCCCCACCTAGGTGAGAACCTCCTGTTAGGTACTCCTGTCACAGTGGATCCTACTTTTTTTTTTTTTTTGAGACGAAGTTGCTCTGTCACCCAGCCTGGAGTGTAGTAATGCAGTCTCGGCTCACTGCAACCTCCGCCTCCTGGGTTCAAGCAATTCTGCCTCAGCCTCCCAAGTAGGTGGGGCCACAGGTGTGCACCACCACACCCAGCTAATTTTTGTATTTTTAGTAGAGACGGAGTTTTGCCATGTTGGCCAGGCTGGTCTTGAACTCCTGACCTCATGTGATCTGCCTGCCTCGGCCTTGCAAAGTACTGGGATTACAGGTGTGAGCCAGTGAGCCACCACGCACAGCTGATCCTTCTTTTTTTTTTTTTTTCTTTCAAGACAGGGTCTCACTCTGTTGCCCAGGTGGGATTGTGGTGGTGTGATCACAGCTTACTGCAGCCCCACCTCCCAGGCTCAAATGATTCTCCCACCTCAGCCTCCTGAGTTGCTGGGGCCACAGGTGTGTGCCACCACACCTGGCTAGTTTTTAGTTTTTTTTTTTTTTTTAAGAGATAGGGTCTCACTATGTTGTCCAGGCTGGTTCTTGAACTCCTGGCCTCGAGCAATTCCCCCACCTTGGCCTCCTCAGTAGCTGGGACTATAGGTGTATACCACCACGCCCAGCTAATTTGTATTACAGAGCCTTGCTGTGTGGTCCAGGCTGGTCTTGAATTCCTGGGATCACGCAATCCTCCTGCCTAGGCCTCCCCAAGTGCTGAGATTGCAGACATGAGTCACCATGCATGGCCCCAATATCTTTTATAGTGCTCTAATGTCTTGCAGTTTTTTCTGTAAGTGTCTGCATTCCATGCTAGACTGTAACCTGCATGAAGGCAGGTTTTGTTTGCCACAGTTATTTCCAGTGCTCTGGGACATAGTAGGTGCTCAGTAATTATTTGCTAAATAAGCAAATGAACTGGCAGCTGTTTTACAGCCCATGTGATATGTATATGGCTCAGATAATCTTGTATTCAATACTTTATTCTCTGCTCACATTTTACTACACTTTTTTTTTTTTTGAGATGGAGTCTTACTCTGTCACCCAGGCTGGGTGCAGTGGTGCAATCTTGGCTCACTGTAACCTCTGCCTTCCGGGTTCAAGCGATTCTCCTGCCTCAGCCTCCTAAGTAGCTGGGATTACAGGCACTTGCCACCATACTCGCCTAATTTTTGTGTTTTTAGTAGAGACGGAGTTTCACCATGTTGGTCAGGCTGGTCTCAAACTCCTGACCTCAGGTGATCCACCTGCCTCGGCCTCCCAAAGTGCTGGGATTATAGGCGTGAGCCACCACACCTGGCTAGATATGTTGTATTTAAGATTTTATTCTCCTCTGCACACTATATTTCACTATACAGTTTTGAAGCTTTCCTGATCACTTACATGATTACTGTCATCTTTGTTTGAAGGTATGTTAAGAAAGAGCTTAATTCAATATATCACTTTGTGGCCATTCATCTAAAATAGAAAGAGGTGTGTTACACTTGTGTGTTACTGATTCTTCCCAGCAGGATGCCTGGTTTGCTTTTGTGTGAACCGACAGAGCTTTACAACATCCTGAATCAGGCCACAAAACTCTCCAGATTAACCGAACCCAACTATCTCTGTTTATTTGGTAAGTACTTGGAAAAAAGTGAAGGAGGTCGAACACAGTGTCCTTCAAATATTATTTTTGATGAGTTAACAAACTTCTGGGAGGGGGTATGAATGACTTTAGAACAGGGGTCCCTGGGCCATGTGTGGTGGCACACGCCTGTAATCCCAGCACTTTGGAAGGCCAAGGTGGGCGAATCACTTGAGGCCAGGAGTTCAAGACCAGCCGGGCCAAAAAGGCAAAACCCCATCTCTACTAAAAATACAAAAAAAATTAGCTGTGGTGGTGCACGCCTGTAATCCCAGCTACTCGGGAGGCTGAGGCATGAAAATTGCTGGAACCCAGGAGGCGGAGGTTGGAGTGAGCCAAGGTTGTGCCACTGCGTTCCAGCCTGGGTGACAGAGTGAGACCCTGTCTCAAAAAAGGAAAAATAAACAAACTTCATCCATATTTACAGCCACTCCCCATGGCTCGCATTACCACCTGAGCTCCACTTGCTGCTGTCAGATCATCAGCAGCATTAGATTCTCATAGGAGCACAAACGCTACTGTGAACTGTACATGCGAGGGATCTAAGTTGCTCGCTCCTTATGAGAATCTAACGTCTGATGATCTGTCACTGTCTCCTGTCACCCCCAGATGGGACTGTCTAGTTGCAGGAAAACAAGCTCAGGACTCCCACTGATCCTACATGGTGGTAGAATTACTTTATTATATATTACAATGTAATAATAGAAATAAATTGCACAAAAAATGTAATGCGCTCAAGTTATCCCCAAACCATCCCCACCCGCCCGCCCACTGCCCTGTTCCGTGGAAAAATTGTCTTCCGTGAAACCAGTCCCTGGTGCCAAAAAGGTTAGGGATTGCTGCTTTAGATAAGACGCCAGGTGTGATGGCTTGTGCCTGTAATCCCAGCCTTTTGGGAGACCCAGGTGGGCGGATCAGTTGAGGTCAGGAGTTCGAGACCAGCCTGGCCAACATGATGAAACCCTGTCTCTAGTAAAAATACAAAAATTAGCCGGGCGTGGTGGCACGTGCCTGTGGTCCCAGTTACTGGGGAGGCTGAGGCAGGAAAATCACTTGAACCCGGGAGACGGAGATTGCAGTGAGCCGAGATCATGCCACTGCTTTCCAGCTTGGATGGGGATTTAGCGTGAGCTCACTTCAAATTTGATTTCTTCCTTCCCCTTCCTTTAGTTACTTATTTATGAGACAGAATCTTGCTCTGTCACCCAGGCTGGAATGCAATGGTGCGAACTTGGCTCACTGCAACCTCCACCTCCTAGATTTAAATGATTCTCCTCCTTCAGCCTCCTGAGTAGCTGGGACTATAGACGCTGCCACCACACCTGGCTAATTTTTGTATTTTTAGTGGAGATGGGATTTTGCCATGTTGGCTAGGCTTGTCTTGAGCTCCTGGCCTCAAGTGATCCACCCGCCTTGGCCTTCCAAAGTGATGGGATTATAGGTGCGAGCCACCACACCTGGCCCCACATCTCAAGTTTCAAACTGACAATGACTATCCCTTAACTGCCAAATAAACAGACGTTGATGATGACATAAGTCCTCTAAGTAGTTTGGTAGTATGTTCCTTTGCAAATTCAGTTCTTAAATACTTTTCCTTTCTAGATGTACGTTCCAAATGGGAGTATGATGAAAGCCATGTGATCACGGCCCTTCGAGTGAAGAAGGTACATGGGCAGTGTTGGAATCTGGGGCAGGCTGGCTACCTTGCAGTGGGATGGGGAAGAGTGGGAGGTTTCACCCTCAATCCAGGGGGTAGCAGAGGCAGGACTGTTTTCAATGCATTCACCATGGTGAGTCTTCCACACCTCTCACTCTCACACATTTTCTCAACTGTCTTCCCATCCCCCAGGAATGGTTAACAACTCCATTAGACAAATATTGATTTTTTTTTTCGAGACAGGGTCTCGCTCTGTCATCCAGGCTGGAGTGCAATGGTGCAATCATAGTTCACTGCAACCTTAAACTGCTGGGTTTGGCTGGGCACGGTGGCTCATGCCTGCAGTCCCAGCACTTTGTGAGACTGAGGTGGGTGGATCACCTGAGGTCAGGAGTTCGAGACCAGACTGGCCAACATGGTGAAACCCCATCTCTATTAAAAGTACAAAAATTAGCCGGGCTGGTGGCTCACGCCTGTAGTCCCAGCTACTCGGGAGGCTGAGGCATGAGAATCGCTTGAACCTGGGAGGCGGAGGTTGCCGTGAGCTGAGATGATGCCACTGTACTGTAGCCTGGGTGACAGAGTGAGACATAGTCTTGAAAAAGAAAATATCCTGGGCTTGAGCAATCCTATCCCACTCAGCCTCCCGAATAGCTGAGGCTACAAGGGGGAATGCCACCATGCCTGGCTCATTTTTGTATTTTTTGTAGAAATGGGGTTGCACTGTGTTGCCCAGGCTGCTCTTGAACTCCTGGACTCAAGCCATCCTCCAGCCTTGACCTCCCAAAGTGCTGGGATTACACATGTGATCCGCCAAGCCTGGCCAAATATTGATTTAATTCCTTAATGTGCCAGGTACTGTTCCAGACCCTGCAGATACAACAGAATACAACAGAACAACAAACAGCCTGATTTCATTGTCCTTGCCCTCCTGGAACTTTTTGTTTTGTTTTGTTGTGTGTTTTTAGTTATTTTTTCTGTTTTTATTTTATTTGTTTTTATATATTTTTTGTTTTTATCTTTATTTTTGGAGCTTTATTTTTAAAATTTTTAGGGGCAGGGTCTTGCTGTGTCACTTGGGCAGGGGTGCAGTGGCACAATCATGGCTCAAACTCCTGGGTCCAATCAATCTTCCTACCTCAGCCTCCTGAGTAGCTGGGACTGCAGACTTGTGCCAACACAGTAATTTTTTTTTTTTTTTTTTTGAGACAGGATCTTATTTTGTTGCCCGGGCTGTCACGGACCTTTCGTTCTATTTAGCAAACAGACAATAAACCCTAGAGATAATTGGCTATAATCCAAAGATGGAAGCATCTCCCTTTTTTCCTTCCCGTCCCATTCTCTCTCCCATTCCCCCCCATCCCATCTTCCCTTCCCCATCCTGAGAAGTGGACAGAGCCCTGCACACAGTCACCATGTCCCCTACTGCAGTGAGACCTTTTCCCCACATCTCCAGGGTGTCTTCTCCCTCATCATTGCGAAGCCTGGCAGCCTTCGCCCAGGACCCGTCTCTCCCCTCTGCGGTCCTGATCACATTCTCTGCCCTGAACTTGGAGGTTCTCTTTGACTTCCCTGGTTTCGTTTCGTTTCATTTCTTTCCTTCTTTCTTTCCTCCTTTCCTTCCTCCCCTCCCCTCCCCTCCCCTCTCCTTCTTTTTGAGATGGAGTCTTTCCCTGTCTCCCAGGCTGGAGTGCAGTGGCATGATCTCGGCTCACTGCAACCTCTGCTTCCCAGGTTCAAGCGATTCTCCTGCCTCAGCCTCCAGCCTGTAGCTGGGATTACAGGCGTGTGCCACCATGCCTGGCTAATTTTTTTTTTTTCCTATCTTTTGTAGAGACGGGGTTTCACCATGTTGGCCAGGCTGGTCTCGAACTCCTGACCTCGTGATCTGCCCGCCTTGGCCACCCAAAGTGCTGGGATTACAGGCATGAGCCACTGCGCCTGGCCCCCTGGTTTATTTTCTCTCTCTTTGGTTCACCTTCATTTTCTCCTCCTGCCGCCTGAAGATAACTGCTGGTCTGTCCTTGATCTCCGTATCTGTCAGGGTACTTTCTTGCCAGAGATTTCACTGGAGCTTACAGCTGCAATGACCTCCACATGCAATTAGCAGTCCTGGTGAGTTTACGTCTAAAATTTTGGGCTGGACATGGTGGCTTGCTCCTGTAATCCTAGCACTTTGGGTGGCCGAGACAGGAGGATTGCTTGAGTCCAGGAGTTCAAGACCAGCCTGGGTAACGTAGCAAGACCCCTGTCTCTACAAAAAATTGAAAAATTAACTCAATGTGGTGGTGCTCATCTGTAGTACCAGCTACTCGGAAGGCCGAGGTGGGAGGATCACTTGAGTCCAGGAGGTCGATTGCACCACTGCATTCTAGCCTGGGTGACAGAGCAAGACCTTGTCTCAAAAATAATAAAACTTTGTCATCTAAAATTTCCCTTTCCTCCCTATTCCCACTGTACTCTTCCACACTCAATCTCTGCTGCTTTTTCTCTACATAACTCGATAACTCGGCAGGGAGCAGGGGCAGGGTGTGTTCTTCCAGGATATTTCCCTGTCCCAATCCATCATTATTGTCTATTTGTCTTTTTTTGTTTTTGTTTTTGAGACAGAATCTCACTCTGTCTGCCCAGGCTGGAGTGCAGTGGTGCAGTCTCAGCTCACTGCAACATCCATCTCCCAGGTTCAAGGGATTCTCCTGCCTCAGCCTCCCTGGTAGCTGCGGTTATAGGCACCACCACCACGCTAGGCTAATTTTTATATTTTTAATAGAGATGGAGTTTCGCCATGTTGGCCAGTCTGGTCTCGAACTCCTGACCTCAAGTGATCTGCCTGCCTCGGCCTCCTAAAGTGCTGGGATTATAGGCATGAGCCACCATGCCTAGCCCATAGTCTCACTCTTAATCCCCATTGCAGGCCTTTTTCTGCACCTATCCAGAGCCCCCTCATGATGTATGGGCCTCCGTTCCCACTCAGCTCTCAAGTCTGTGCATTTCTTTGATTCTGGCCGCACCTCCTGCTTTGGGAAAGAGACGTTCTCTCTGCCTCTGCCTCTCAGCTCCTCCAATTCAGGCTAACAGCTTTTCTTTTTTTTTCTTTTTTCTTTTTTTTTTTTTTTTTTGAGACGAAGTCTCGCTCTTGTTGCCCAGGCTGGAGTGCAGTGGTGTGATATTGGCTCTTGCCTTCCCTCCCTAGCTTCCCAGTTAGCAGACTGAGGCCTTCAGGGCATTCCCAGCCCAGCAGGACAGAAAGGCTCCTAGCCCTGTGTTCTCAGCCTTCTTGGATCTGACCACCTCTCTTCTCAGCCTCATTCCTAGTACGCTTCCACTCTCCCTGACACCTTAGCAGCACTGTGCTGCCATGTTTCCTTCTATGATGCACCTGTATCCCATAATGTAACTCTTTTTTGAAAAGGAATATGTCCTACCGTTGATTTTTTTTTTTTTTTTTTTAGATGGAGTCTCACTCTGTCGCCCAGGCTGGAATGCAGTGGTACGATCTCGGCTCACTGCAACCTCCGCTTCCCTGGTTCAAGCAATTCTTCTGCTTCAGCCTCCCGAGTAGCTGGGACTACAGGTGCGCACCACCACACCTGGCTAATTTTTGCATTTTTAGTAGAGACGGAGTTTCACCATATTGGTCAGGCTGGTCTTGAACTCCTGACCTCGTGATCTGCCTGCCTTGGCCTCCCAAGGTGCTGGGATTACAGGCATGAGCCACCCTGCCTGGCCAATTTGTATTTATTATTATTATTATTTTTAAGGCAGGGTCTCACTCTGTCGCCCAGGCTGGAGTGCAATGGCACCATCATGGCTCACTGCAGCCTTGACCTCCCAGGATAAAGGAGTCCTCCCACCTCACCCTTCCCAGTAGCTGGGACCATAGGCATGCACCCCCACACCCAGTTAACTTGTATTTTTTGTAGAGATGGAGTCTCACTATGTTGCCCAGGCTGGTCTTGAACGCCTGGGCTCAAGCAGTCCTCCCTCCTCAGCCTCCCAAAGTGCTGGGATGACAGGCATGAGCCACCAGGCCTGGCCTGATTCATACTTTTAATATGGTAGTGTCTTTTTCCCTGAAAGTGGGTGTGGAGAATATCTGCTGTTTTTCTGCCTTTTTGAGGGGAACTTCTCTTTCTGCTCAAACCATGGGTTTCTAGTGGTGTTCTCTAAAATAATATTCTGGCCAGGCATGGTGGCTTTAGTCTGCAATCCCAGCACTTTGGGAGGCCAAGGTGGGGAGATTGAGCTCGTTTGAGACCAGCCTGGACTACATAGGTGCGCGACCTCGAGGGGCATCTGTTTACTACCTTCTTTTTGAGTGTTGTCGTTCTTGTTGTTTTGAGACAGAGTGTCACTCTGTTGCCCAGGCTCGAGTGAAGTGGTGCGATCTCGGCTCACTGCCAACCTCTGCCTCCTGGGTTCAAGCATTCTCTTGCTCAGCCTCTTCGAGTAGCTGGGATTACAAGTGGCAGCCACCATGCCTAGGCTAATTTTTGTATTTTAGTAGAGGATGGGGTTTCACCATGTTGGCCAGGCTGATCTCGAACTCCCTGACCTCAAGGTGATCTGCCCGCCTTGGCTCCCAACAAGTGCTGGGATTACAGGTGTGAGTCACCACGCCCGGCCTTGTTGGTTTTTGTTTTGAGGCAAGTCTTGCGGCTGCATCTAGGTGGAGTGCAGTGATTGCAATCATAGCTCACTGCCAGCCTCACCTCCCCAAGACTCAAGCGATCTCTCTCACCTCAGGCCTCCCGGTTACTGGGCTACACCGTGCACCACCCCACTACACCTGGCTTTTTTTGTCTCTACAAATATTTCGTAATTATGAGATATAAAGGTATATAAATTAGCCAGGTGTGGGTGGTGCATGCCCGTGGTCCCAGCTACTCAGGAGGCTGAAGTGCGAAGATCACTTGAGGCCAGAAATTCAAGGCTGCAGTGAGCTTGGGACTGCACACTCCAGTCCAGCCTGGGCAAGAGAGTGAGACCCTGTCTCTAAAATAACTCAAGTATTCAGAACCCCTCGCCCCAGTGATTGATCATGGGTCTGGGATGAAAGCTGAGCCAATCAGAATTGGAATTAGAGAAGGGTGTCTCTGTCCAGCATGGCGGTGGAATTGGGAAGATGGGAGCCTGAGCATTGCTGGGGTTTGTGGCTCAAGCCTCTGGAGGAAGCTATCTGAGAAGGGGAAGTCAGTGCGGAGGGGAAAGTGGAGAGGAGGAGAGCCTGAAGGCGGTCTGGGCTTTAGGATCTCTGGGTCCTAAAGCCAGCTGCTTTAGGTTTGGAAACCGGCTGCATCTTTGCCTTGCCTGGAGTGTTATCTGCCTACAAGTCCTTCTTTTGTGCACACTCCTGATTAAATTGGTAGTACATCTTATAATCCATGAGTTTTGTTTTTTTTGTTTTTTGTGTTCTGTTTTTTTTTGGGACATAGTCTCACTTTGTTACCCAGGCTGGGTTGCAGTGGTGCAATCATAGCTCACTGTAGCTTTGAACTCCAGGGCTCAAGTGATCCTCCCACCTCAGCCTCCCAGGTAGCTGGGATTATAGGCATGAGCCACCATGGCCAGCCACATTTGAGCTTCCAGTCCATCTCATTCCTTCTGCTTACTCATGACTTCTGCTTCTATACACTGTCTACTTACTGTACTTTTTTGGGGTGTTTTTTGTTTTGTTGTTTTGGGACCGGGCCTTGCTCTGTCACCCAGGCTGGAGTGCAGTGACACAATCACAGCTCACCGCAGCCTCCACCTCGTGGGCTCAAGTGATCCTTCCACTTCAGCCTCCTGAGTAGTTGGGACTACAGGCGCATGCCACTATGCCTGGCATTTTTGTATTTTTTTTTCATAGAGATGGGGGTCTTGCTGTGTTGTCCAGGCTGGTCTCAAACTCCTGGCCTCAAGCAGTCCTCCTGCCTTGGCCTCCTGAAGTGCTGGGATTACAGGTACAAACCACACTGCATCCAGTCTGGTGTTTTCGGATTCAATCTCCACTGCCAAACACTCTCTCCATGAGAAAGGATGTCACTAATTCAATTGACCATGGTTTCTCTGACACCAGGGTACCTAATAGGCTGTGGATCAGTCAGACCAGCAGTTCTTTGGTCAGGCACTTCTCTCTGGTCCAATCAGCTGTGGTCAGCTTTTCTCAGAAGCGAAGGTAGTCACGGAGGATCCTTGGATTTAACAGACTGTCCACCCACTGTCTCAGTACTTCTAGGCCTGTGTGTGTAGTTAGGGGAGAGAGTGGTCTTAGCTCCTCCTAGTGCTGCTATGCAGGGAGTCTCTGCTCAACTGAACCTGCCCATCAACAGGCCTGTCTTGTGTGTGTGTGTGTGTGTTTTTTTTTTTAAGAAAAATAACGAGTATCTTCTCCCGGAATCTGTGGACCTGGAGTGTGTCAAGTACTGCGTGGTGTATGATAACAACACCAGCACCCTGGAGGTACTCTTAAAAGATGACGATGATGATTCAGACTCTGATAGTGCTGGCAAAGGTGGGTTTTATGCAATAGCAGCAAGAATAATAGTTAACGGCTATTGAACAGATTTGTTATGGGACCAACAGGTTCGTATGCCCGTGGCATGGGAACAAGCCAATGACACTGAGACAGCAGGGTTTGCATCAGAGAAAGCTTCATGATCACCGGATACCAAGCAAGGAGATAGGAAGAGGCCCTCAAATACATCTCCCCAAGGAGTTGTGGAATGGGGTTTTTAAGGGGATTGGGGAGGGTGAGGGACTAGAAAGTTGGGGTCATTGATTGGTCGAGGAAAGGGGGATGAAATCATCAGGACGTGGAAACTGCATTCTTTGGTGAGTCAGCTCCTGTGGGGCCCTTCAGACCAGCTGATGTCAGCAGTTTCATCAGAATGTGGGACCTGAAAGAATATCTCAAAGGGAAAACAATGTTCCATGACGTTCAAGTTGTCACCTACAGAGCAGTTAAGGGGAACTATATTCTTGGCCGGGTGTGGTGGCTCAAGCCTGTAATCCCAGCACTTTGGGAGGCTGAGGTCAGATCACGAGGTCAGGAGATCGAGACCATCCTGGCTAACACACTGAAACCCCATCTCTACTAAAAATACAAAAAGTTAGCTGGGTATGGTGGCAGGCGCCTGTAGTCCCAGCTACTCGGGAGGCTGAGGCAGGAATGGCATGAACCCGGGAGTCAAAGCTTGCAGTGAGCCGAGATGATGCCACTGCACTCCAGCCTGGGCAACAGAGTGAGACTCCATCTTGGTGGGGGAAAAAAAAGAACTATATTTTTGTAGCAGGGTCTATGTGATTCTGGGACAATACACATCAAACAGCTGTGAGGAAGCAGGTTGGAGAGCAAGCAAGGTGACTTAGTGATGAATGCCGAATGTGCTGCAAGCTTGCTTTATTTTCATTTGTTTCCCTCCCTCCTTTCCTGATTAATTTCACAAAGTTTATGGGGACAGTTTCATGCGTGCCATGCACCAGGAACCAAGGGCTTTACTTGGATCTGCAGAACAACTTACAAGGACGTTAACTAACATCAAGAGCTATGAGCACGCCAGGCCCAGTGACTCATACTTGTAGTCCCAGCACTTTGGGAGACTGAGGCAGGAGGATCACTTGAGCCCAGGAGTTCAAGACCAGCCTGGGTGATAATGGCAAGATAAGGCACCCAGCTCATTTATTTACTTTTTGTAGAGACTGGGTCTTGTTGTGTTGCCTAGGCTGAGACTTAAGCTTTTAAAAGTGTATGGACATATTTTTAAACCACCACACCTATAAGTGGTGGGGCCAGGATTCAAACCCAGGCCTTTTGGCTCTGTCCTGTCCCCCAGGAATTGGGTAGTGGAGCTAGAGAGCAGGCAGCCCCAAATCAAAACATAAAGTGGTCAGTTCCAATGTGCTCCATCGAACCTCTGAGGCTCTGCTCTGTTCTTCATGAGCCCGTAGTTTTGGGCTGACCACCCCTTGCGGTTGGCACTGGGAGCTCTGCTTCTAGAAATCAGAACTGCACCTGTGGGTGCAATTCCAGAAGCTGGGAGCACTCAAACCAACTGCCAGTGGGTGGCGCTATGCTTCCACCTTTCATAAAACCAGCTGTCTGGACTTTTGTCCCAGGAGGTCCTTGGCCAGGAAATTGTCCCTTCTTCTCTAAGCTCATCCTGTTGGGCTCTGGTCTGCAATCCTAGGACTGTAGGCTGGGCCTTGAAACCCTAGGAGATGGTGCTCAACACAGATAATCCCTTTTACATTCTGTAACTGACCTTACTTTGCTATGGGGCCCCCATTCACAGGAAACCACAACCATACAGACAACTTGTGTACTCAAGACAACTTTTCCTGTTTCAAATGGCATCTTTCAAGTCAATGAAAAGTCTTTGAGGGTACAAGACCATCTCAAGGCTTCTCTCAATACCCCCTTCTTTCCTTTTTTTTTTGAGTCAGGGTCTCGCTCTGTTGCCCAGGCTGGTCTTGAACTCTTGGCTTCAAGCAATTCTCTTGCATTGGCCTCCCAAAGTGCAGGGATTACAGGCATGAGCCGCCATGCCTGGCCTGAACTCTCTGACTTCTGAGTCAGGCCCTGTGGGGTGAGCTTTGGCTCCTGTCTTGACAGCTGCAAATTCTCTCTCAGCCTGGCTGCAGACTCCAGATTCTTCCTCTCAGTGCCATCTCTCAGGTCCCAGCCACTTTATCCTCCGTAGCCCCTTCTGGAATTGTCTTTGTCTCCCTGAACAAAAATTCAGTATGGAAGCAGAGTTGGCCAGGCACGGTGCCTCACACTCGTAATCCCAGCACTTTGTGAGGCTGAAGCAGGAGGGTCGCTTGAAGCCAGGAGTTTGAGGCCAGCCTGGGCAACATAGCAAGGCCCCATCTCTACCAAAAATACAAAAAAAAAATGTAGCCAGGCATGGTGGTGCATGCCTGTAGCCCCAGCTACTCAGGAGGCTGAGACAGGAGGCTTGCTTGAGCCCAGGTGGTCAAGGCTGCAGTGAGCTATGACTGCACCACTGCATCCCAGCCTGGGTGACAGAGTAAGACCCTGTCTCAAAAAAAAAAAAAAAAAAAAAAGTCCATGCTCTTTCCTTTCTCCTTTTATCTGGCTCTCTGAAGTCTGCCACGCAATATTTCTCTTTCTGGGTCAGAACGTGGCCTCAGGATATCTTGGCTTAAGGATGTCTTGGCTTAGCCTTAATTATGCAAACTTCCTGTCACATATATCTAATTTCCATACAGTCTAATTGTGATTCTACAGATCAACGAAGGTGTTTAAGATTAAATTGATGTCCGCCGGGTGCAGTGGCTCACTCCTATAATCCCAGCACTTTGGGAGGCCGAGATCGATGGATCACGAGGTCAGGAGATTGAGACCATCCTGGCTAAAACGGTGAAACCCCATCTCTGCTAAAAATACAACAAATTAGCCGGGTGTGGTCGCAGGCGCCTGTGGTCCCAGCTACTCGGGAGGCTGAGGCAGGAGAATGGCGTGAACCCAGGAGGCGGAGCTTGCAGTGAGCTGGGATCGCGCCACTGCACTCCAGCCTGGGCCACAGAGCGAGACTCCATCTCAAAAAACAACAACAACAAAAAAAACAAACCCACAGTGAGTTCACACCCACTGGGATGGTCATAAAGAGACAGATAATAAGTGTTCGTGAGAACATGGAGAAATTGGAAGCCTCATACACTGAACCAGAAAGTAAAATGGTACAGCCACTGTGGAAAACAGCTTGGTGTTTCTTCAGAAGGTTAAGATATAGACCTCCAAGAAATGAAAACACATCCACACCAAAGCTTTTGCATTAATGTTCATAGCAACGTTAGTCATAATGGGCAAAAAGCACAAACAACCCAAGTGTCTATCAGCAGCTAAACGGGTGACACAGATTGTAGTCTATCCACACAGTGGAATATTACTCAGCCATAAAAAGGAATAGGGCCAGGTGTGGTGGCTCACGCCTGCAATCCCAGCACTTTGGGAGGCCAAGGTGGGTGGATCACCTGAGGTCAGGACTTCAAGACCAGCCTGGCCAACGTGGTGAAACTCCATCTCTACTAAAAATATAAAAATTAGCTGGGCATGGTGGCAGGTGCATGTAATCCCAGCTACTAGGGAGGCTGAGGCAGGAGAATCACTTGAACTTGGGAGGCAGAGGTTGCAGTGAGCCGAGTTTGTGCCATTGTACTCCAGCCTGGGCGACAGAGTAAAACTCAGTCTCAAAAAAAAAAGTGCTATAATGTAGATGAACACTAAAGAGATCATGGTAAGTGATAGAAGTCAGATGCAAAACATCACATATTATTCCATTTATATGAAAAGTCCAGAATAGGCAAATCCATAAAAATGAGTGGTTAAGTGGAGCTGGGAGTTTGGGGGAAAACAGGGGTATGGCTGCTTAGTGGTACAGGGTCCCTTGTAGGAGTGATGAAAATGTTCTAAAATTAGGCTGGGCACTGTGGCTTACACCTGTAATCCCAGCACTTTGAGAGGCTGAGGTGGGAGGATTGTTTGAGCCCAGAAGTTTGAGACCAGTCTGTTCAACATAGACCCCGTCTCAAATAAATAATACATAAGAAAACATTCCAAAATTGATTGTAGGGATGGTTGCACAACTCTGAATATAATAAAAGTCACTGAATTGTATATTTTTTCAAGTTTCAGATTAACGGGTACACGTACGGTTTTGTTACCTGGGTATATCGTATGATGCTAAGGTTTGAAGTTCGATTAAACCCATCACCCAGGTAGTGAGCATAGAACCCAATAGGTAGGTTTTTTTTTCTTTTTTTTTTGAGATGGAGTTTTGCTCTTGTTGCCCAGGTTGGAGTGCAGTGGCATGATCTTGGCTCACTGCAGTCTCTGCTTCCTCTCAGCCTCCCGAGTGGCTGGGATAACAGGCGTGTGTCACCCCACCCAGCTAATTTTTTGTATTTTCAGTAGAGATGAGGTTTCGCCATGTTGGCCAGGCTGATCTCAAACTCTGGCCTAAATGATGCAAGCCTGCCTTGGCCTCCCAAAGTATTGGGATTACAGGCATGAGCCATCGCGCCTGACTGCAATAGGTAGTTTTTCAACCCCTGTCCCTCTCTCTCCGTCCTTCTCCTTGTATTCTTCAGGGTCTGTTGTTCACATCTTTATTTCTATATACACCTGATGTTGAGCTTGCACTTATAAATGAGAACATGTAGTATCTGGTTTTCTATATCTGTGTTAGTTCGTTTAGGGTAATGGCCTCCAGCCCCATCCATGGTGTTGCAGAGGACATGATTTTCTTTTTTTTAATAGCTGTGTAGTATTCTGTGGTATAGGTGTACCACATTTAAAAAATCCAGTCCGGGGCTGGGCACAGTGGCTCATGCCTGTAATTTCAGCATTTTGGGAGGCCAAGGCAGGTGGATCACTTGAGGTCAGCAGTTTGAGACCAGCCTGGCCAATATAGTGAAACCCTGTCTCTACTAAAAATACAAAAATTAGCCGGGCATGGTGGTGCACGCCTGTAATCCCAGCTACTCGAGAGGCTGAGGCAGGAGGAGAATCGCTTGAACCCAGGGAGGCAGAGGTTGCAGTAAGCCAAGATTGCGCCATGGCACTCCAGCCTGGGCGACAAGAGCAAGACTCCATCTAAAAAAAAAAAAAAAAATCCAATTCGTTGTTGATGGGCCCTTGAGTTGATTCTATGTCTTTGCTGTTGTGAATAGTGCTCCAATGAACATATGGGCACAGGTATCCTTTTGGTATAACATTTTCTTTTGGATGTGTACGTAGTAACAGGATTTCTGGGTTGAATGGTAGTTCTATTTTTGGTTCTTTGACAAAGAAATCTCCAAACTCATTCCCCCAGGGGCTGAACTAATTTACATTCCCATCAACAGTATATAAGTGTTCCTTTTCTCCATAGCCCTGTCAACATCTGTTATTTTTTGGCTTTCTAATAAAAGCTATTCTGACTGGTGTGAGAAGGTATCTCATTGTGGTTTTGATTTGTATTTCTCTGATGATTAGTGATGTCAAGCATTTTTTCATGTTCGTTGGCTGCTTGTATGTCTTCTTTTGAAAAGTGTTTATGTCGTTTGCCCACTTTTAATTTTTTTTATTTTTTTAATTTTTTTAATTTTTATTTTTTGAGACGGAGTCTCGCTCTGTCGCCCAGGCTGGAGTGCAGTGGCGCAATCTCGGCTCACTGCAAGCTCTGCCCCCGGGGTTCACGCCGTTCTCCTGCCTCAGCCTCCCCAGTAGCTGGGACTACAGGTGCCCGCGACCACGCCCGGCTAATTTTTTGTATTTTTAGTAGAGACGGGGTTTCACTGTGTTAGCCAGGATGGTCTCGATCTCCTGACCTTGTGATCTGCCCGCCTCGGCCTCCCAAAGTGCTGGGATTACAGGCGTGAGCCACCGCGCCCGGCCTGTTTGCCCACTTTTTAATAGAGTTGTATATTAGAGTTCTCTAGAGGAACAGAACTAATAGGATATATATACACACACATACATATATATACACACATATATACATATATACACACATACGCACACATATATGCATATATATGTGTGTATATATATAAAGGGGAGTTTATTAAGGAGTATTAACTCATGTGATCACAAGGTCCCACAACAGGCCGTCTGCAAGCTGAGGAGCAAGGAAGCCAGTCTGAGTCCCAAAGCCGAAGAACTTAGAGTCCGATGTTTGAGGGCAGGAAGTATACGGCAGGGGAGAAAGATGTAGGCTGGGAGGCTAGGCCAGTATAGTCTTTTCATGTTTTTCTGCCTGCTTTATGTTCTAGCTGTACTGGCAGCTGATTAGCTGGTGCCCACCAGACTGAGGGTGGGTCTGCCTCTCCCAGCCCACTGACTCAAATGTTAATCTCCTTTGGCAACATCCTCACAGACACACCCAGGATCAATACTTTGCATCCTTCCATGCAATCAAGTTGACACTCAGTATTAACCATCAGAGGCTGTTTGTTTTTTGCTTCTTGATTTCAGTTCCTTATTCAGTTTGGATATTGGATCTTTGTTGGATGCATAGCTTGTGGATACTTTCTGCCATTCTGCAGGCTATTTGTTTACTCTGGTAGTTTCTCTTGCTGTGCAGAAGCACTTTAGTGTCCTCAGGTTCCATTTGTCAATTTTTGTTTTGTTGCAGTTGCTTTGGTGGATTAGCCAAAAATTGTTTGCCAAGGCCAATGTGTCAAGAAGGTGCAGTTGCTTTGGAGGACTTAGCCAAAAATTATTTGCCAAGGCCAGTGTCAAGAAGGGCATTTCCTAGATTTTCTTCTAGGATTTCTATAGTTTTGAGGTGTTACATTTAAGTCTTTATCTTGAGTTGATTTTTGTGTATGGTGATAGGGGTCCAGTTTCATTCTTCTGCATATGGATAACCAGTTATCTTAGTACCATTTATTGACTAGTAAATGGGAATCCTTTCCCTGTTCCTATTTTTTGAGACAGAGTCTTGCTCTGTCTCCAAGATGAGTGCAGTGGCACAACCATTGCTCACTACAGCCTCAACCTCCCTGGCTTGGGTGATCCTCCTGCCTCAGCCTCTCTAGTAGCTGGGACTGCAGGTGCCCGCCACCACACTCAACTAATTTTTTGAATTTTATTTGTGACGAGGTCTTGCCATGTTGGCCACACTGGTCTCAAACTCCTGAGGTCAGGCAGTTCTCCTGCCTCTGCCTCCCAACGTTCTGGGATTATAGATGTAAGCCACCATGCCCAGCCTCCATTGCTTATTTTTGTCAACTTTGTTGAAGATCAGATGGTTATAGGTGTGTGGCTTTATTTCTGGGTTATCTGTTTTGTTCCATTGGTCTATATGTTTGGAATCATACACTTTAAATGGGTGAATTGTATGATATACAGCATACAGTTTACATATGTATGTGGTATAAATATAATATATTCACGTATATAATATGTAAACCATATGTATACATATGAGTGGTTAACGAGCTGGCAGTTTCTGCAGACTCTGAGAGATATATATTGTATAATGTTGTGTATCATACTATATATCTCAGAGTTTACAGAAAAGAAGATTAACTTAGGCTGGGCACGCCTGTAATCTCAGCACTCTGGGAGGCTGAAGCAGGTAGATTGCTTGAGCTCAGGAGTTCAAGACCAGCCTGGGCAAAAAAAGTGAGACCCTGTCTCTATAAAACAATACAAAATTTAGCCAGGTGTGGTGGTGTGCACCTATAGTCTCAGCTACTTGAGAGGCTGAGGTGGGAGGACGGTGTGAGCCCAGGAAGCGGAGGTTGTAGTGAGCCAAGATTGTACCACTGCACTCTAGCCAGATAGAGTGAAGCCCTGTCTCAAAAACAAACAAAAAAAACCTGGTGGTAAGCTACTTTTAAATTTTTAACATAACTCATCTCTATACTTGCTTCAGCTTCCTAAATAATTGCGTTTCAGGCTGGGCGCAGTGGCTAACGCCTGTAATCCCAGCACTTTGGGAGGCCGAGGCAGGCGGATCACCTGAGCTCAGGAGTTCAAGACCAGCCTGGCAAACATGGTGAAACCCTGCCTATACTAAAAATAAAAAATTAGCCAGGCATGGTGGGCGCCTGTAGTCCCAGCTACTCAGGAGGCTGAGGCAGGAGAATCGCTTGAACCCAGGAGGTGGAGGTTGCAGTGAGCCGAGATCACGCATTGCACTCCAGCCTGGGTGACAGAGTGAGACTTTGTCTCAAAAAATAAATAAATAAAATAATTGCATTTCAGAAGAAAGTGGCCATCCGTCCCAGCTCTAGACCAATGGCAGATACACAGGAGACATTTTTTGTCTTTGATCTCCACTCTCAGGTGTGGTGCCTGGAGCAGCCATTGAGTATGGCAGGATCCTGACCCGCCTTACCCGCCACCCTGTCTACATCCTGAAAGGGGGCTATGAGCGCTTCTCAGGCACATACCACTTCCTCCGGACCCAGAAGATCATCTGGATGCCTCAGGTAGGGCCAAATGCTGAGCACGGGCAGGTCCAGACGGGAAGGATGGGCCTGGAGACTGACCCGTGGGTGACGGAGTAGGAGAAACAGGAGGATGGGATAGAGGATATAGAGAAAGTGGAGGAGGTGGGGTGGGTGGAGACTGGGCTGCAGACATGAATTTAGGGCTGCCAGGAGTCCAGGTCCAGTGTTTTGTTTTTGTTTTTGTTTTTGTTTTTTGAGACACTCTCAGTTTGTCGTCCAGACTGGAGTACAGTGGCATGATCTTGGCTCACTGCAACCTCCGCCTCTTGAGTTCAAGCGATTCTTCTGCCTCAGCTTCTCTGGTAGCTGGGACTACAGGCACGAACCACCACGCCTGGCTAATTTTTGTGTTTTTATTATAGACGGGGTTTCACCATGTTGCCCAGTCTGGTCTGAAACTACTGACCTCAAGTGATCCACCTGCCTCAGCTTTCCAAAGTGCTGCAATTACAGGAGTGAGCCACCGTGCCCGGCCACCGTTCTTTATAAGGAATTGTTGGCTGTCTGGTTGAAACAGTGAACAAAGAGGGCAGGCTTAATGTGGACCGATTTCAAGGTCAGACAGACAGGGGCATCACGGCTCGAGACCACTTCTTTTTTCTTGGCTGTCTGGTTCCACAAATCCTAGCTGGATCCAGAGGATATAAAAATACACAAAAGTGGGAAGGATTGGTCAGGCACAGTGGCTCATGCCTGTAAGCTCAGCACTTGGGAAGGCCAAGGCAGGAGGATTGCTTGAGCTCAGTACTTTGAGACCGGCCTGGGCAACATAGTGAGACCTTGTCTCTACAAAAAAATCAATAATTGGAGCTGGCTGTGGTGGCTCATGCCTATAATCACACCCCTTTTGGAGGCCAAGCTGCATGGATCACTTGAGCTCAGGAGTTTGAGACCAGCCTAAGCAACATGGCAAAACCCTGTCTCTACCAAAAATACAAAAATTAACCAGGCATAGTGGCCCACCTGTAGTCCCAGCTACTTGGGAGGGTGAGGCAGGAGAATTACTTGAACCCAGGAGGTGGAGGTTGCAGGGAGCCGAGATCACGTCACTGCTCTCCAGCCTCGGTGACAGAGTGAGAGCCTGGCTCAAAAAAATAATTGAGAAGAGAGATGGGAGGATTGCTTGAGCCCAGGAGGTCGAGGCTGCAATGAGTTGTTACCATGTCAGTGTACTCCAGGCTGGTTGACAAAGTAAGACCCTGTCTCCAAAAAAAAAAAAAAAAAAAGGGAAAATCAGCCAGGTGCGGTGACTCACACCTGTAATTCTAGCACTCTGGGAGGCCAAGGCAGGAGGATTGCTTGATCTCAGGAGTTGAAGACCTGCCTGGGAGATATAGTGAGACTCCATCTCTATTATAATTCTTTTTCAGTAGAGACAGGGTTTCACCATGTTGGTCAGGCTGGTCTCCAACTCCTGACCTCAAGCGATCCACCTGCCTCGGCCTCCCAAAGTGCTGGGATTACAGGCGTGAGCCACTGCACTCAGCCTATTATAATTTTTTTTATACAAAAAGAATCAGATATGAAACCCCTTTGTCCATCACCTATCTCCAAACGTTATCAACTCGGCCAGTTTTGTCATAACAAAACAATTTTGAGATACCAGTTCCTGTTGCTGAGTGGCCCTGTCTGTAGGGAAGGCAGTGGCTGGAAGCTGAACTATGTCAAGGGACGCCCTGGGTATCTGGAGCCCAGAGAAGAGGCACTTGAGCTTCCCAGAGCCAAAGCTGAAGGAGGAGGAGCTTCCGAGGAAGAGAACTGGGTGGAGTTATCTAAGGTTAGCTCCAGACTGTGCAGAGATTTGCAGGCAGGGCCTGGTCTCCGGAGGGTGCCGTGTACAGATGTCTGGCTTATTGAAGCGTCTGAACACAATGGAATGTAAACAGAAAGTGGTTTTAGCTTTTTCTAACAGTTGTCTTCTGCTGTGTTCCCCTTCCTGCCCTTAGCAACATCGTGAGCAGATTCCATACTTTCTGGCCACCTGATGGTTACAAAAAACTTCAATCAAAGTCATAGTATAGAATGACTCAGCAAATGTGACTATTCACAGGATATTTGATTGTGTTTAGGAATTGTTGCTTTTTGAAGGTTGTAGTGACATTGTTATGGTTATTATAAAGTTCAAGTCCTTATCTTTTAGAAATACAGAACAAAATATTTACGGGTAAACTGACGTGATGTCTGGAATTTCCTTTCAAATAATCTGGGGCGAGGTGAGAAGGCAGTGAGGGTATAGAGGAAACAAAATTGGCCAATGAGTTGTTAATGTTTGAAGTTGGGTGATATGTATGTTTTAGAGACAGGGTCTCAGTCTGTTGCCCAGGCTGGAGTGCAGTGTGCAATCATAGCTCACTGCAGCCTCCACCTCCTGGGCTCAGTATCCTCCAGCCTCAGCCTCTTGAGTAGGCGGGACTACCCATGCAAGCCACCACAGTTGGCTAAGTTTTAAAATTTTCTGTAGAGACAGGGTCTTGCTATGTTGCCAAGGCTGGTCCAAAACTCCTGACCTTAAGCAATCCTCCTGCCTTGGCCTCCCAAAGTACTGGAATTATAGGCATGAACCACCGCACCTGGCCAACTAGTGTATAGTTTTGAAATAATGTTAAATAAAGGAAGTAAAAAGACAGTCTAGTAGAAGCTAGGGCAGTTTAATATTCCAACCTCAAATCTGGATCAAGTCTCATCTCTTCCCATGCCTCAGAGCTGGGCAGCCTAGGGTTTGCTGGGGGACTCATAGTAGGGAGGGATGGGGGTTAGCTTTAAGGACAGCTGCTCTCTTCCCCTCTTCTGGGCAGAGGACCTTTGGCAGTAGGGTCCAGAGTGGACCTGTCTGTGTGCCTGACTGTGTGTCAGTGGTGGGAAAGCTCCTGCTCTCTGGCCCCGTCTGGCTGTGTGAGCTGCTGGTGGCCTCTCCTGCTGGTTTGCTCGGGACCCAGCTCAGCCTCACCCTGGCTCCTTCTGGGGCTGAGGATCTCCCAGAGAGCACAGCCAGCAGTGACTCCCTTCAACCCCTGCCAGGCATTTCCTCCAACTTCTTCCCCTTAACTTGGAAGCCCATGACCCCGTCCCCTGCCCCGCATGCCCACATTCCTTCACCAGGATCCCAGAATGATCCTGTGTGATAAGATAGGCACTTGTGCCTGAGGTCAGACATGGTCCCAGATCCAGGGTATGCATGTCTGGCTCACAAAGACATTCCCTTCTTCCACTGAGATAACAGCACTGTGAATTTCAGCTCAACAGGTGGACAGTCAGTTAAATAAAGGAAGTAAAGACAATCAATCTAGTATAAGCCAGGACAGTTTAATGTTCCAACCTCAAATCTGAATCAAGTCTTACCTTCATTGGAACTCCTCCTTGATCTTGGAGGACCCCTTCCTGGCTTTGCAGAGTACAGAGAGATTAATTTCTTCTCTGCAAACCCTACACTGCTGATAACTCATCACCGCTGCCCCTTCATTTCTGAAGCTTTAGTAAGGTGTAACTGACATGATGAACTGCACATATTTAAAAGGCCCAGTATGGTCCGTTTTGACAGATGCATATTCCTGTAACTTGCCTTTGCTCCTAGTCTAGTCAACTTGGGAAGAAGGTGCAGGATTGTGGCTGGGATAGCTGTGAGGGTTGGATTGGGTTACTTGTTTGCGGCTGTCTTTAGAATGCAGGTGACTGGCCAGCTGTGGTGGCTCAAGCTTGGAATCCTAGCACTTTGGGAGGTCAGAAAGGAGGTGGGAAGATCACTTGAGTCCAGGAGTTTGAGACTAACCTGGGCAACATAGTGAGACTTTGTTTACACAAAATTTTTTTTTAAAGGCCGGGCATGGTGGCTCACACCTGTAATCCCATCACTTTGGGAGGCCAAGGTGGGTGGATCATGAGGTCAAGAGATCAAGACCATCCTGGCGAGCATGGTGAAACCCCATCTCTACTAAAAATACAAAAATTAGCTGGGTGTGGTGGCCCATGCCTGTAATCCCAGTTACTCGGGAGGCTGAGGCAGGAAAATCACTTGAACCCAGGAGGCGGAGGTTGCAGTGAGCCGAGATCACATCCCTGCACTCCAGCCTGGGTGACAGAGTGAAAAGAAAAAAGAAGAAAGAAAGAAAGATTTAGGAGGTAGCACTGATCAGACATGAGGGCATGGGAGAGAGAGGGGGCTGGGATGATGCCCTGGTTTTAGGCGTGGGTGACAGGGGCTGTGATGTGGTTCATTGTGAGGAACACTCGGGAGGGATTGGGGTAGGGCAAGAGGGACGTGGTTCTGGGGGAAGGCAGTGTGCCCAGTTTGGGCATATTCATTTGAGATACTGGTTTCCTTTGCATTGTGTCACTGAGCATTTACACACATTTTACAGTACAGTGTGTTTTTATCTACGTCACACCCCTTCCCAGCCAAACCCACACAACCGCAGAAAAGGAAGTTGGTTTCAAAACAGCAGGAAGAGGGGTTGATAGATTTGCTATGGGAGTTTTGTGAGTTCTTTTTTTTTTTTTTTTTTGAGACTGCATCTCTGTTGCCCAGGCTGAAGTGCAGTGGCACGATCTGGGCTCACTGCAACCTCTGCCTCCTGGGTTCAAGTGATTCTCCTGCCTCAGCCTCCAGAGTAGCTGGAATTACAGGCATGTGCCACCACACCCAGCTAATTTTTGTATTTTTAGAGATGGGGATTCACCATGTTGGCCAGGCTGGTCTTAAACGCCTGACCTCAGGTGATCCACCTGCCTCAGCTTCCCAAAGTGCTGGGATGACAAGCGTAAGCCACCGTGCCTGGCCTTTTAGTGAGATTTTTCAAGTGGAAATTGAAAGGGGGATTTCATTTTGGCACCAGCAAGCTGAGCCTCTGGGTTAGGGGCAGCCCACATACTGGAGTAAGCGTTGGGCCTGCCCGCAGGCAGTGGGGTGATGCATCTCCATGTCACAGGCTTGAGAACTGGCTCAGCTTGGTGTCTGTTCTTTGCTAATGGCTTTCAAAGCTGGTGGCTTGGGAAGGATGTGGGCTTGCAGAGGGTTTACTGCCGTGGGAAAGGGAGTGAGAGTTCAGGTTCAGGTGGCTCTGAAGGACCCACACACCTGAGGTCCTTAAGATTTATTTCTGAGTCGGACTTGGAGCCAGGGGACTTTCAGTACTGATTTTGATCTTTGGCAAAAGTCAGCATTTTCTATGGTGTAATAATGGAGAAAGTGGCCTCTAATCAGAGCCTCACGGAAACATCAAGTTATCCAGTGGGAGTGGAATTCTCTACTGCAGAACTTCTTTGAGAGTTTTTTTTTTTTTTGAGATGGAGTTTCACTCTTGCTGCCCAGGCTGGAGTGCAATGGCGCGATCTTGGCTTACTGCAGCCTCCGCCTCCTGGGTTCAAGTGATTCTCCTGCCCCAGCCTCCTGAGTAGCTGCGATTACAGGCGTGCACTGCCACCCCTGGCTAATTTTTGTATTTTTAGTAGAGATGAGGTTTCACCGTGTTGGTCAGGCTGGTCTCAAACTCCTGACCTCAAGTGATCTATCCACCTCGGCCTCCCAAAGTGCTGGGATTACAAGCATGAGGCACTGCATCTGGCTTTCTTTTTTCTTTTTCTTTTTTTTTTTTTTTGAGACGGAGTCTCGCTCTGTCGCCCAGACTGGAGTGCAGTGGCGCAATCTCGGCCCACTGCAAGCTCCGCCTCCGGGGTTCACGCCATTCTCCTGCCTCAGCCTCCCGAGTAGCTGGGACTACAGGCGCCCGCCACTGTGCCCGGCTAATTTTTTTCTATTTTTAGTAGAGACGGGGTTTCACCATGGTCTCGATCTCTTGACCTTGTGATCCGCCCGCCTCGGCCTCCCAAAGTGCTGGGATTACAGGCGTGAGCCACCGCGCCCGGCCGCTTTCTTTTTTCTTTCTCTTTCTTTTCTTTTTTTTTTTGAGAGATAAGCTGGAGAGCAGTGATGCGGTCATAACTCACTGTAACCTCCACTCCTGTGGGATCCTCCCACTTCAGCCTCCTGAGTAGCTGGAACTACAGCCATGTGCCACCATGCCTGGCAAATTTTTTATTTATTATTTTTTTATAGAGACAAGGGTCTTGCTGTGTTACCCAGGCTGGTCTCGAACTCCTGGGCTCAAGCGATCCTCCCACCTTGACCTCCCAAAGTGCTAGGATTACAGGCATGAGCAGCCACTGTGCCCAACTTCTTCGAACCTTTGATTGCTAATGTACGCCTTGTTTCCAAGAGAGGAATCATAGATACAGCTGTCCTTTAGTATCCATGGAGATTGGTTCCACGACCCCCAGTAGATACCAAAATCCTTGGATCTTCAAGTCCCTGATATAAGATGGTGTAGTATTTGCATCTAACCTAAGCATATACTCCCATATACTTTATTTATTTGAGACAGAATCTCGCTCTGTCGCCAGGCTGGGGTGCAGTGGCACGATCTCAGCTCACTGCAACCTCCACGTCCCAGCATCAGGTGATTCTCCTGCCTCAGCCTTCCGAATAGCTGGGACTACAGGCATGTGCCACCATGCCTGACCAATTTTTGTGTTTTTAGTAGAGATGGGGTTTCACTTGTTGGCCGGGCTGGTCTCAAGCTCCTCACTTTAGGCGATCCACCTGCCTCAGCCTCCCAGAGTGATGGGGTTACAGGTGCGAGCCACATCACCTGGCCCCTCTTGTATACTTTAAATCATCTCTAGATTATTCATAACACCTAATACAATGTACATGCTATGTAAATAATTGTTATACTGTATCATTTAAGGAATAATGACAAGAAAAAAGTCTGTACATGTTCTGTACATATGCAACCATGAATTATTTTTCTGGATATTTTTGATTCAAGGTTGCTTGAATCCATGGATGTGGAACGCACAGATATGGGGCAGATTGCGTTTGGTTATCTGAACCCCTGAACCCTTTTTTCATAGTGCCTTACGGAGGACTAGTGTTTCTTAGAACACACTTTGGGAAATGAAGAGATAATCCTTGTATTTGTTTCAGATAAACAAAAGGTTTTTTTTTTTCTTTTTTTTTTTTTTTGAGATGGAGCCTTGTTCTGTCTCCCAGGCTGGAGTGCAGTGGCACAATCTCTGCTCACTGCAAGCTCTGCCTCCCGGGTTCACGCCATTCTGCCTCAGCCTCCCAAGTAGCTGGGACTACAGGTGCCCGCCACATGCCCGGCTAATTTTTAATGTTTTTTAGTAGAGACGGGGTTTCACCTTGTTAGCCAGGATGGTCTCGATCTCCTGACCTTGTGATCCACCCACCTCGGCCTCCCAAAGTGCTGGGATTACAGGCGTGAGCCACCGCGCCTGGCAAATGAAAGTTTTAATGGTAACTTTGGACCTGAAACTCAGGAAGCTCCCATTTAAGTAGGTGTTTTGTTCTCTCTACCCCTCTACATATATGCTGGCTTCATCAGAATCATTTCTGGGCATGCAGGGTGGCTCCCATGTGTATCCCAACACTTTGGGAGGCTGAGGGAGGAGGATCACTACAGGCCAGGAGTTCGAGGCCAGCCTGGGCAACATAGCAAGATCCCATCTCTACAAAATATAAAAGTTTCAAAATTATCTGGGTACGGTCGTGTGCACCTGTAGTCCCGGCCACCTGGGAGGCTGAGGCAGGAGAATCATTTGAGCCCAGGAGGTTAAGACTGCAGCGAGCTATGATTGAGCCACTTATACTCCAGCCTGGGTGACAGAGTGAGAGACCCTGTATCTTAAAAAAAAAAGAAAAAGAAAAAGATGGGCCGAGCGCAGTGGCTCACACCCGTAATCCCAGCACTTTGGGTAGCCGAGGCAGGTGGATTACTTGAGGTCAGGAGTTCAAGACCAGCCTGGCCAACATGATGAAACTTCCTCTCTCTTCCTCTCTCCTTTTCTCTCCTCCTCTGTCCTCCTCTCTCTTCTCTCTCTCTCTCCTCTTTCTGTCTCTCAGTACTTAAATTCTGATGGTCTCCAAGTGTAATAAGAGAGTTATCCCTCTCCATCCTCCTGAGCCCCCAGTACATGCTGGGTTGTTAGTTTTGGGCCACAGTGTCCTCACTGCAACCTTTGTGCACCTGGCCAAGTGTAAACAGGTGCCATGGAGGAAATCAGCACCAGTGCTGAGACCTAGCGCTCCGCACCATGAGGCTGTGGCTCAGTCCCTTCGTCATGACTCGCCCTGTGCCACCCACATAAGTTTCCATGTGCCAATCTCTTTCAAAGTCTGGATCTCCATCACATTCACTGTCCCGGAACTGCCCTTTTACGCTGGTTTGATGAACTGTGTTTCAAGAGATAGACATCCGTCTTCCCTGAGGAATATGCTCATAGCTGCCTTTCTCCCTCCCCACTTCAGGAACTGGATGCATTTCAGCCATACCCCATTGAAATCATGCCAGGGGAGGTCTTCCTCGGCAATTTCAGTCAAGCCTGTGACCCCAAAATTCAGAAGGACTTGAAAATCAAAGCCCATGTCAATGTCTCCATGGATACAGGGCCCTTGTAAGTAAAGAGAAACAATTGATTTATATTTCGTTTTTTAAAAATTTAATATTAAAATTTTATTTTTTGTATTATTATTATTATTATTATTATTATTTTTGAGATGGAGTCTTGCTCTGTCACTCAGGCTGGAGTGCAGTGGTGCGATCTTGGCTCACTGCAAGCTCCGCCTCCTGGGTTCACGTCATTCTCCTGCCTCAGCCTCCTGAGTAGCTCAGGCACCTGCCACCTCGCCCGGCTAGTTTTTCATATTTTTAGTAGAGACAGGGTTTCACCGTTTTAGCCAGGATGGTCTCGATCACCTGACCTCATGATCCTCCCCTTTTGCCTCCCAAAGTGCTGTGATTACAGGCATGAGCCACCGCACGCGGCCTATTTTATTATTTTTTGAGATGGAGTCTTGCTCTGTTATCCAGGCTGGAGTGCAATGGCACAATCTTGGCTCACTGCAACCTCCGCCTCCAGGGTTCAAGCGAGTCTCCTGCCTCAGCCTCCGGAGTAGCTGGGACTACAGGTGTGCGCCACCACACCTGGCTAATTTTTGTGTTTTTTAGTAGAGACAGGGTTTTGAAATGTTGCCCAGACTGGCCTCGAACTCCAGACCTCAAGTGATCTGCCCGCCTTGGCCTCCCAAAGTGCTGGGATTACAGGCATGAGCCCCCACACCCAGGCTATATTTTATTTTATATTTTATTTCATTTTAGAGACAGAGTCTTGCACTGTTGCCCAGGCTGGAGTGCAGTGGCACAATCATAGCTCACTGCAGCCTCAACCTTCTGGGCTCAAGTGATGCTCCTGCCTCTGCCTCTGCCTCCCACCTCTGCCTCCTGCTTCTAGATATTAAAAGGCATTCTCTGGGCATGTATCCCAGAGAAACAAATACTTATATTCACACCAAAACCTGCGCATGAATATTCACAGTGCTGTCCAGCTGGCAAAGAACTAGACAAACTGTGGTAAATACACTCCATGGAATACCACTCAACAATCATAAGGAAGAAACTGTTGATACCTACGGCAACTTGGATCTCCAGTGAATAAATGCCGAGAGGTGGGGCAGGGGGATAATTCCAAATGGTTACAGACAATGTGACTCCATTTATGTAGCATTTATTTATTTATTTTAAAAAAAAGGAGACGAGCTCTCACTATGTTGCCCAGCCTGGCCTTGAACTCCTGAACTCAAGTGATCCTCTTGCCTCAGCCTCCCAAAGTGCTGGGATTATAGGTGTGAGCCACCACACCTGGCCTTATATAGCATTTTTGATATGACAAAATTTTAGAAATAGAAGACAGATAAGTGGTTGCCAAGAGTTAGGGAAGGGAGCAGGGGAGGTAGAGGTGGTTATAAAAGAACAACACAAGTAGCTGCACACAGTGGCTCATGCCTGTAATCCCGGCACTTTGGGAGGCTGAGGTGGGAGGACCACCTGAGGTCAGGAGTTTGAGACCAACATGGCCAACATGGTAAAACCCCGTCTCTACTAAAAATATAAAACATTAGCTGGGCATGGTGGTGTATACCTGTAATCCCAGCTACTCAGGAGGCTGAGTCATGAGAATCACTTGAATCAGGGAGGTGGAGATTGCAGTGAGCCAAGATCACACCACTGCACTCCAGCCTGGGCAACAGAGTGAGATTCTGTCTCAAAAACAAGCAAACAAAAAGAAACAGAAGGGATCCTTAGTGTTGGAACTGTTTACTCTCTTGAGTGATAGTGGATATATGAACCTACACAGTGATAAATTTCTATTATTTTTTTTTGAGATGGACTCTCACTCTGTCGCCCAGGCTGGAGTGCAGTGGCACGATCTTGGCTCAGTGCGACCTCCACCTCCCATGTTCAAGTGATTCTCCTGCCTCAGCCTCCTGAGTAGCTGGGATTACAGGCACCCACCACCATGCCTGGCTAATTTTTGTATTTTAGTAGAGAGAGGGTTTCACCATGTTGGCCAGGCTGGTCTCAAACCCCTGACCTCAGGAGATCTGCCCGCCTTGGCCTCCCAAAGTGTTGGGATTACAGGTGTGAGCCGCTGCGCCCAGCCCAGTGATGAATTTCTGTAGAACTTACTACACACACACACACTCACACGCAGAGGTAAAACTGGATAAACCTGCTAAGACTGATAGATTGTATCAGTGTCAATATCCTGATTGTGACATGCTATAGTTTTGCAAAAATGTTGCCATTGGGGAAACGGGGCACAGTGTATCTACAAAGGACTTTCTCTGTTACTTCTTACCACTGCAGGTGAATCCATAATGATCTCAATAATTTTTTTTCTTTTTTTTTTTGAGATGGAGTCTCGCTCTGTCATCTAGGCTGGAGTGCAGTGGCATGATCTTGGCTCACTGCAACCTCTGTCTCCTGGGTTCAAGCAATTCTCCCTGCCTCAGCCTCCCAAGTAGTTAGGATTACAAGCGCCTGCCACCACGTCTGGCTAATTTTTGTATTTTTTACTAGAGATGGGGTTTTGCCACGTTGGCCAGGCTGGTCTCGAACTCCTGACCTCAGGTGATCCGCCCACTTCGGCCTCCCAAAGTGCTGGGATTACAGGCGTGAGTCACTGTGCCTGGCCTGTTTGTGTTTTTTGATTTTTTTGTTTTTGTTTTTTGACAGGGTCTCACTCTGTGATCCAGGCTGGAGTGCAGTGGTGTGGTCACAGCTCAGCTTGACCCAGGCTCAAGCAATCCTCCCACCTCAGCTTCCCAAGTAGCCATGTCTACTAAAAATACAACAATTAGCAGGGCATGGTGGCAGGTGCCTGTAATCCTGCTACTCTGGAGGCTGAGGTGTGAGAATTGCCTGAACTGAGGAGGCAGAGGTTGCAGTGAGCTGAGATCACTCAACTGCACTCCAGCCTGGGTGACAGAGCAAGACTCTGTCTCAAAAAAGGAAGTAAAATAAAACAGATAAAACAGCAGCCCCACCATCTCCATCCCTCTTACCTCTCTCTCTGCATTTAACACAGTGGGCTCATTCTCCAAGGTCATTAAATGTGCTTTCCTGTCCTCATTTAATGATTGCACCATATTCTAGGAGAGTACCATGTTTTGGGTTCATCATAATAGCAATGTGACATGTACTATGCACCAAGCAGATTGCTAAGTGCCCTGAACAGATTACTTCCCTCAGTCTACACAGCACCCCTGTGAGTTAGGTGTATTAACAATTTTTTTTAAAATTTTTTATTTTTGTAGAGATAAGGTCTCATATGTTGCCCAGGCTTGTCAGGAACTCCTGGCCTCAAGCGATCCTCTTGCCTTGCCCTCCCAAAGTGCTGGGATTACAGGCGTGAGCCACCATGCCTGGCCAAGATAGGTACTTAAAAAAATTTTTTTTTGGCTGGGTGTGGTGGCTCACACCTGTAATCCCAGCACTTTGGGAGGCCAAGGCGGGTACATCAGCTGAGGCTGGGAGTTCAATGACCAGCCTGGCCAAAATGGTGAAACCCCGTCTCTACTAAAAATATAAACATTAGCCAGGCGTGGTGGCACATGCCTGCAATCCCAGCTACTTGGGAGGCTGAGGCAGGAGAATCGGTTGAACCTGGGAGGTAGAAGTTGCAGTGAGCTGAGATCACGCCACTGTACTACAGCCTGGGCAACAGAGTGAGACTCTGTCTCAAAAAAAAAAAAAAAAAAAAAAAAGACGAGGGTCTGGCTATGTGATCCTCCCATCTCTGTCTCCCAAATTACTGGGCTTAGAGCCATGAGCCACCACACCCAGCCTGGATGTTGTTTTCCAGGAGAGGTTGAGCTACCTGTGCACATTCCGCCTTACACAAGCTCAGCGTCTTCCCTGTGGCCCTTCTGCTGCGATGAAAACCCCGCAGTGGGGCGGCTTGCATTCCGCATTCCACCCGATGACCTGTGTGGTCTTTCCATGTAGTTTTGCAGGCGATCCTGACAGGCTTCTGCACATCCAGATAGAAGATTCCCCAGAAGCCCAGATTCTCCCCTTCTTACGCCACATGTGTCACTTCATTGGTAAGGAGCGTTCCTTGGCCGGGTAGCAACTGGCCTGTGTCTGGGAAGCAGAGGGGCAGTGGAGCCTCCTTCACAGGCTTATTCTGGATCACGACTCCCCATGCTCTGGAGAGAAAGGGCCCAGCTCAGCATATGCCCCACCTGGGTGAGATAAGCTCCAGGACACGTCCAACTTCTCGGGAGCCCTCAGTGAAACGAGCAACAGTGGTGTTTACCTTGAGGGCAGTGGGGCCCAAGATTGTGAGCTGAGCGTCCTGGGCTCTGGCCCTGGCTAGATGGCTGTGCCCTTCTGGGCTTGTTGTAAAATGAGGGTGATGGCTACCCACAAGCACACATGCTCATGGAGGCTCTAGGCTGTGCTCTGGGGACCAGGAGGTAAGTCTCTCTCCATCCCCGCCTTCATCCTTGGTCTGTGGGATGTGGGTGGAACGGAAGGAAGACTACAAAGCTCTTTCAGTTCTCACTTCCAAGATTTTCTTTGTTTTGGTTTGTTGGTTGGTTGGTGGAGTTGGGGTCTTGCTATGTTGCCCAGGCAGGTCTTGAACTCCTGGCCTCAAGCGATCCTCCTACCTCAGCCTCTCAAGGTGCTGGGATTATAGGCATGAGCCACCACACCCAAGTGGTGCCCACCAGTTACTTAATTCATCACGAATGGATTTTTAACTCGTTCCTGCGGCTCCAGATTGCCTGAGGAGAGTAAGATGTGTAGAGAGAGCAGGGCTGAGTCAGGTTGGAGTCCCCACCCTGTGCCTGCCTGTCTGGCACCAACAGCTCCTGGCCTGAGCCACTGTACCAGGGGCTGGAGCATGGCGTTTTGGCCCAACCATCCCTTATTTTAAATTTTATTTTTTTGAGACAGAGTCTGGCTTGTTCACCCAGGCTGGAGTGTAGTGGTACAATCTTGGCTCACTGCAATCTCCACCTCCTGGGCTCAAGCAATCCTCCTACCTCAGCCTCCTGAGTAGCTGGGACTACAGGCACGCACCACCACACCCAACTAATTTTTGTAGTTTTAGTAGAGATGGGATTTTGCCACGTTGCCCAAACTGGTCTTGAACTCCTGAGCTCAAGCAATCCACCCACCTCAGCCTCCTAAAGTAGTGAGATTACAGGCGTGAGCCACCGCACCCAGCCCCAACCATCCTTTATTTGCCTAGCACATGTCAAATGTCACTCGACTAGGGCCTGAGGCCGAGACTTCCCATGTGTCCCACCTCGAGGTGTCAGAGCCTTGTGGCCCAAAGAGGGCCCCCATCCAGCCTGCCTCCCTGGGTAGCACTGAGCCAGTCAGTGGATTAAACTACACGCTCAGTTCCTTTATTCAGATGGTGGGGAAGGTAGCCGTCGTCATCTCTGTGTCTTCCTTTAGCCCTGGCAGTCTGTGATTTTGCACTTGGCATGCTAATCTTCAGTTCCTGAGGGTTGCCAGACCAGCCTCGGGTGCCATCTTAGGTTTCCTCTCCCTGGGCAGGACTCACAGCTTCAGGGGTGCTGTGATTAGAGCTGATATTTCTGTGCCAGGCACTGGGCTCAGTACAGAACAGAACCAAACCGCATGGAGGAGGTAGTATACTGTGATCCCATTTTCCAGATGAGGACACTGTGGCTTCAAGTAACTTACCCTCCAGCCCGGGCAACATTGTGAGACCCCATCTGTACAAAAAAGTTAGCTAGACATGGTGGCGCATGCCTGTGGTCCCAGCTACCCTGAAGGCTAAGGCAGGAGGATTACTTGAGCCCAGGAGTTCAAGGTGGCAGTGAGCTGTGATTACATCACTGCGTTCCAGCCTGGGCAACAGAGCAAGACCCAGTCTCTAAAATAAAATAAAAATAGGCTGGGCACAGTGGTTCTTACCTGTAATTCCAGTACTTTGAGAGGATGAGGTGGGCAGATCACCCGAGGTCAGGAGTTCAAGACCAGCCTGAACAACATAGTGAGACTGCATGTCTATATTTAAAAAAAAAAAAAAAAGTTGGGCGCAGTGGCTCATGCCTGTAATCCCAGCACTTTGGGAGGCCGAGGTGGGCAGATCACGAGGTCAGGAGATGGAGACCAGCCTGGCCAACATGGTGAAACCCCATCTCTATTAAAAATACAAAAAACTAGCTGGGCGTGGTAGCAGGCACTTGTAATCCCAGCTACTTGGGAAGGCTAAGCCAGGAGAATCGCTTGAACCCAGGAGGTGGAGGTTGCAGTGAACTGAGAGTGTGCCATTGCACTCCAGCCTGGGCAACAAGAGTGAAACTCTGTCTCAACAAAGAAAGAAGGAAAGGAGAGGAGAGGAGAGGAGTGGAGAGGAGAGGCGAAAGGAGAAGAGAGCAGAGGGGGGAAGGAAAGGAAAGGAAGTAACTTGCTCCCAAGCCCCATGGCCAGTGAGTGGCAGTCAGGATTGGCACTCAGGCTACCCTGGCTCTGTCAGTTCCTAACTGTTCTTAGAATGATGGTGGTCACATCCGCCCCATCGGTAGCAGAGCTTCCTGTGCTAGAAGCCTACAGTTCAGAAGGTCTTTGCCGGGTGATGCTGGTTGCCCAGGCATGATTTTCTGGAACTTCCAGCCAGGACTGAGGGATGCCCACTTGTTAGACAATGAAATGGGCTCCCAGAGAAATCATGGGACTTGCCGAGGTCATGTGGGCTGGTCTTGAACTCATGCTTGGACCATGGGCCCATGGAGGCCAGTGTCTGACAGCAACCCAGGCCCACAGGGAGGAGGGCCAGGCATGACCCAACCCCTCACTTCTTTTTGCAGATGCTCACCGTCACCTTGGCTCTGTCATTCTGATCTTTTCCACCCAAGGTATCAGCCGCAGCTGTGCCGCCATCATAGCCTACCTCATGCATTGTAACGAGCAGACCTTGCAGGTATGCGTTCCCCGAGCCAGGCTCACAACATGCCACCCCCTGGGAGGTGGGGTCAGAGTGCGACCTGGGAGGAGTGGGGCCCTGGCACTGCTTTGGGAGGAAGAATCCCAGGTAACTCCAAGTCTAGGGTGCCCCCCAGCCCATGTCACCCAAGGGCAAGGCCCTAGCGTTGCAGGCTTGAGGCCTGAGGCTGGATACACAGGACTGGCCCAGGGACTCAGGCCAGATCAGGCTGTCCTGCAGCCCCCTCGGCATGGCCCCCACTGCTGTCAGTCTGTCCACCGGTGTTTGTTTGGTGTTGCCCAAGGGAGAACTGCTTGGAGTCCCAGAGCTGCAGCACAGGCGCCCACCCACCCCTGCCTATCTCCCTATGCCTTGGGCGCAGGGTCCAGAGAGGAGAGGGAAGCAGGGACCCATCGTGGCAAACCCAGGCAGATCTCGGGGCTCCTGACTCTGAGACAGCGCCTTTTTTGGGTGTCTGCCCCGCCTGTCACAGCCTGTTTGTGATCTCAGAGGGCTTGATAGGACCTGCAAAGCCCTGACATTTACCCAGGGATGTGTTTGGGGGAAGGAGAGGGACAAAGAATAAAACCCATTAGCCAGTGGGTTTGGTTGTCACGGGTGTATGCACTTTGCGGGTGAAGTTGCAGGCTAGAAAGGCTCTTTTTTTTTTTTTTGAGATGGAGTCTAGTTCTGTTGTCCAGGTTGGAGTGCAGTGGTGCAATCTCCACCTCCTGGGTTCAAGTGATTCTTGAACCTCCACTGCAACCTCTGACTCCTGGGTTCAAGCAATTCTCCTGCCTCAGCCTCCTGAGTAGCTGGGATTACAGGTGTGTGTCACCACGCCCAGCTAATTTTTGTATTTCTAGTAGAGACGGGGTTTCGCCATGTTGGCCAGGCTGGTCTCGAACTCCTGACCTCAGGTGATCCACCTGCCACTGCCTCCTGGGATTACAGGTGTGAGCCTCTGCGCCTGGCCTAGAAAGAGTATTGGATATCCAGGAATTCTGTTCCTGGGTGTGTGCCCAAAAGAAGTGGAAGCAGACTGGGCATGGTGACTCACACCTATAATCTCAGCACTTAGGGAGGCTGAGGTGGGTGGGTCGCTTGAGCTCAGGAGTTTGAGATCAGCCTGGGCAACATGGCAAAATCCTGTCTCTACAAAAAATACAAAAATTAGCTGGGTGTGGTGTTGCACACCTGCAGTTCCAGCTACTTGGGAGGCTGAGATAGGAGAATGGCTCGATCCTGGGAGGTGAAGGCTGCAGTGGGCTGTGATCATACCACTGCACTCCAGCCTGGGCAACAAAGCCAGACGCTGTCTCAAACAAACAAAAAAGAGAGAAAAAAAATCAATTTCAGTGCCTTTAAACTTCTAGGAGTACCTTTGTCTTTTAAAGACCTTCAAATAATAACAAAACTCCAGAGACACTATAATAACTAACAAACACTGACTCCTACCTGCCTGGTAAGTATTTATATGTCGTTAAAACACCTTCACAATGACCCTGTGGCATAGCTATTGCTTTTATCCCCATTTTGTGGGAGGCCTGGAGAGGCCGGGTACTTTGCCTTAAGCCCCAGAGCTGTAAATGGCAAAGCTGGAATCCAAAGCACGGCTGGAGAATCTGGGTTTTTAACAGGGCCCTGAGGCGGCAGGGAGAACGCTGGCCTTGCAGCCTGGGCATTGCCCCTTACCGCATGTGACCTGAGTACACCCCTTCACCCTTCTATCCCTTCAGTCGGTAGAATGAGGTCGACAGCACGTGTCTCTCCTGCCTGCTGCATTTGCTGTGAGAGTCCCAGCAGATGCCTTCTGGGCTGGAAGGGGGATGTGTGGTTTATGATTCTTCCTTCAGGGCTTATTCTGACCCAGTGAGGACATAGTAAACCTTGTAACTGCAAGCTCTGCCCCTCACACCACTTTTAAAAACTTTATGGTTAAAATATACATAACAGGCCGGGCGCGGTGGCTCACGCCTGTAATCCCAGCACTGTGTGAGGCTGAAGCAGGAGGATCGCTTGCCTACAGGAGTTTGAGATCAGCCTGGGTGACATGGGAAAACCCCTTTTCTAAAAAAAAAAAAAAAAAAAATACACACACACATATATATAACAAAAAATTTACCATCTTAACCATTTTAAAATGTATAGCTTAGGAGCATTAAGTACACTCACATTATTGTGCAACTAATCTCCCAAACTTTTCCATCTTGCAAACCTGAAACAGCAACTCTTTACTTTCCCCCCTTCATCACCACATGGGAACCACCATTCTACTTTCTGTCTCTGTGAATTTGAGTACTCTAGGTACCTTATGTAAGTTCCTTCCTTTTAAGGCTGAATAATAAATATTCCATTATATGTGGAATTCACCAATAAACCCATCTACGCTAGGTGCTTTCTGTTTTGGAAGATTACTAATTATTGATTTAATTTATTATTATTATTTTATTTATTTTTTTTGAGACAGAGTCTCACTCTGTCACCCAGGCTGGAGTGCAGTGGCACGATCTCGGCTCACTGCAAGCTCCGCCTCCCGGGTTCATGCCATTCTCCTACCTCAGCCTGCTGAGCTGCTGGGACTACAGGCGCCCAGCACTACTCAATTTCTTTAATATATGTAGGCCTATTCAGATTGTCTGTTTCTTCTTGTGTGAGTTTTGGCAGATTGTGTCTTTCAAGGAATTGATCAATCACATTTGTGGGTATGAATATTCTTTTATTCTCCTTTTAATATCTGTGGGATCTGTAGCAATGTTTCCTCTTTCACTTCTGATATTAGTAATTGTGTCTTCTCTTTGAGTTAGCCTGGCTAGAGGAAGTATCGATTTTATTGATCTTTTCAAAGAAGTGGCTTTTGGTTTTGTTGATTTTCTCTATTGATTTCCTGTTTTCAATTTCATTCTTTTGCATGGGGATATCTAGTTTTCCTAGCACCATTTGTTGAAATGACTGTCCTTTTCCCCCATTGAATGGTCTTGGCATACTATCAAAAATTGCTTGACAGACCGGGTGCAGTGGCTCACACCTGTAATCCTAGCACTAGCAGTTCTGGGAAGCAGAGGTGGGCGGAATCACCTGAGGTCAGGAGTTTGAGACCAGCCTAGCTGACATGGCAAAACCTCGTCTCTACTAAAAATACAAAAATGAGCCAGGTCTGGTGGCACATGCCTGTACATCCAGCTACTTGGGAGGCTGAGCGCCCACAGAATCACTTGACACCAGGAAGGCAGAGGTCTGCAGTAAACTTGAGATCTGCACAACTGAACTCCAAGCCTGGGCAACAGAGTGATACTCC